TCACTAATCAACGCATTAGTACGAACTCACCAGCTTATCATCATCGGAAGAGACGAAAGCCTTTTCAACGTAAAAGGGAGAGATTGATACCTTCTCGAGTCGAAAGGTTTAGCAACTTCCTTGACGCGATAATCCAGCAAGTTGAAAGACTCGGGCAACATCTTGGAAGAGTTTTGATACGAAGTTTTAAACAGGGGACCATAACCTGGATTTTGCCAAGTTGTGTTGTTTTTTTTTTGACTCTTCTACTTTAACGAACCATGTTTCGGTGGATTTGTCCAGGGGTTGAATGGCGTAAACAGTTGATTCGGTGAGTTCAAGGTGGCCGTCGTCTGTCATGCCTGGCGGGAAGGGAATCTTGAAATGCGAGAGTGGCAGGAGTGGAGGAGGGACTGAGGAACGAAATGAGTTACAAGCAGCGCGAAAACAGAGAGTTTCGATTCGTGTGTTGAGGTATTCTGCGATTGTAGCGAGTAGATGTTCAGGGAGATTGTCCATGGCAATGGCAATTAAATTAGCAAGTTTTGATCACAAGAGGAAGAAGAAAGTAGGAAATTACAATTGAATCCTATATTATTCCTTCAAGGTTGATATGCTTTAACATCATAATTTATATTAGAAAAATGTGATTCTAATACAAAGAGGGTTACAAAATGATATAGTAAAAAAAAAAAAAAATAAATAAATACAGAAAAAGAAAAAGAGAGAAAAATCATAAAAATCAAAGATTACAATTGATTTTGTATGCCTTTTTGTATTTATTTTTGTAAAATTAGCATTGTAATTTATATTAACACGAAAGGATCGATAAAGATAACTTGATCCTCGTGAAAGCCTACTGAAGAGAATAAAGAAAAAGAATCCCATGCAAGGTTTGCCGTAATTACATTTTCCACCCATAAACTTTGAGAAAAACAATTTCGCACCCATCTTCAATCTTGATCCATGGAATCTATTAATAACAGGGATAAAGCTACTAAAAAATTATTTACCTATATTTTTCAATGATATTGAATAACATTTTCCTATCCAAACTTTATTAAATACATTTTTCAGCCTTAGTTTGGTTTATATTAATTTGGTGGCCAGAATCGCACCCAACAATTCCGACTAATTCACACCCGATCAGGTGCAATTCGGTAGGATTTGCACCGATCAAGTGCGATTAGCCCAAAATCACACCCAACCAAGTGCGAAAAATACATTTAACAAAGTTTGGGTGGAAAAATGTTATTCAGTCTCGTTAAAAATTATAAAGTCAAATCGTTACGGTATTATAGTCTTTTTACAACTTTATCACAACATATTTCATTGACAGAGATTGACGATTATGGGTGATAATTTGTTTTTCTCAAAATTTATAGGTGGAAAAATATAATTACGCAAACCTTGCGTGGGAAATTGTCATTCACTCTATAAATATTCAATCTTTTTTTCGGCTGCATGTCCACCCACCAACTTAGTTTTCGTCTTTAGTTTGATTAGAAACTAAGAAAAGTGGAAGAAGAAGTATATTTAGAAAACGTAGAAATTAAGAAAAGAAAAAGAGAGTATACTTATTTATCTCTCCCCTGTTATTTTAAATTAAAGAAATGAGAATCCAATTTTTGACAAATATTTAGTTATTAACTATGAATTAACATAAGTTACTGAATTTAAAAACAAATAAATCACTAATATAATGTAGTCTTTTTTTTTTTTGGAATGCAAATTATTAGGATAATTGGCAATATATTATCATAATAATAATAATTAAAAAAAAATATTGTGATTTGCACCAATAAAAAATACTAGATTCCGTGATGAAACATGTGTAACAAATTGTATGAAATCTGCAATGCGATGTTGGATCAATGAATAAAAAACACAAACGACAAAAAAAATAAAATAAAAAAAATAACAAGAAATTTTTAAAGTAGTTCGGATGCTATATACAAATTCTATGTTTATTGTCTTTTATTGTTTTTTTGTGTTTGTTTTTCATGTACAAGTGTGGTTTGCATCAAAAATCAATCCTTAATCTAGGTGAAAAATAAATTTATAACAAATTTGTAAATAAAATTAACTTAAGACAGAATAACACGTGAATAAGCGTTTTGAGGATTGATCGTACAACAAATAAACACCATAATTCTTTTGTGTCCCATGCATATAATATTTTAATTAATCTAATTAATCCCGTTAGCTAAATGAAATAGAAGTAAACAGAAGAATTATTTTCTCTTATAAGTTACGCTTTGAATCAATTAGAGATTTGCGTAAACTTCATCACATAAATGTACGAGTCTTCACCACGTCGATGAGATAAGGAAGAAAATAAATAATTAAAAGATGAAAAGACAAATGTAATGGCTCATAGCCTAGGGATGGGAGATCATGACGTTTGGGAACTATAAATCGCTATGTTATTATCATCACTTTGGAACTTGAATATAATTTTAGTATTTTAACCTGAAAATGTTGTCAGACTTAATTGGATGCTAACAAACCCTAAATCTGGAAACGAAGATAAGCGAATCAATAGCAAATAAATAAACTAATATAAGGCAAATTTCACTACGAAGAAAAAGGAAAAATTGAAAGAGTCTCTTACAAGCCTCACATATTAGCTATGTTTTTCTGAACCTCCGTTTGGTTTTTCTTTCTATTTTTTTGAATTTTTTAACTTGAGGATTTAACTCATTTTTTATAGATAATAATGAGATACTATTTTTAATAGGACTCAAAATTTATAAATTTTATTTTTAATTCCTATTCAATTATATTTCTATTCTTAATTCTACATAAACACATATTAGAAAACCATTTGTTATTACAGTACTAATTTGGATTGAATTTGACTACTGATTAAATAACCTGTAAACATTTGACATTGAAAGAAAATCAAACTTATACATCATGGATCTGATTTTTCAACCATGCCAGCTTCAAATTCTACTTCTCCGTGGATGAGGCGGTTACAATCAAATAAAATTAAAAAAAATAAAAAAATAAACTTTACATTCATTCAGCAGGAATTCTGCTTCTGTCTGAGACAAGTGGGTGGAGGCCAAATGCCTCTGTATTTTGAAAGAGCCGCCGGTTGAGATCTCGCGACGGATCCTCCAAGTCAAAATACGCAACAGCCTCTGTGGGGTGATAAAATTTAAAATCAGCTCCACCCAAATCCATATACATCAAGTAACCGCAATTCCCTTTCACACGCAGGGAGTTCTTTCGCTGAAAGCATGAACGAACCATCTTCACCTAAAAACAACACTTGATCTTTTAATCCATCTCTTCAATCCACTCGCATTTCTCTTCGTCAAGCTTGAAAACATCCAAACGAATCCGACCCAAAGAGGACCATGTTGTGAGTATTTTTATAACCAACTTGTTGATCAGAAACAAATCATCCCTTGATTTTACCAGAGAGTGCATCATAAGATGTGATTGGGATTTTCCAGAGCTGCGGCAGCTTCAGTGACGTTTAGAGACTTGGGATCCACTGCCCCAGTGATGCCGTCGAATCCCATAGCGTAGAGTTTCTTGTTGTGATAAATGATATCTTTACAGTAAAAACTTTCATAACCAAAATCTATAATCGCCCATCTCTCGTCTTTGCTTCGCCACACGCCCACTCGGCCTTCACTAATCAACGCCATTAGTACGAACTCACCAGCTTTATCATCACTGAACAGACGATAGCCTTTTCAACGTAAAAAGGATTAGAATTTGATACCATCTCGAGTCGACGATTTAGCAACTTCCTTGCGCGATAATCCAGCAAGTTAAAAGACTCGGGCAACATCTCGGAAGAGTTTCTTGTACGAAGTTTAAACAGGGATCCATGACCTGGATTTTGCCAGAGTTTGACTCTTCTACTTTAACCAACCATGTTTCGGTGGATTTGTCCAGGGTTGAATGGCGTAAACAGTGGATTCTTGATTCAAGTGGCCGTCGTCTTTCACCCTGCGGAAGGGAATCTTGTAATGCGAGAGTGGCGGGGTGGAGGAGGAACTGGGAACGAAATGAGTTACAAACAGCCCAATAAGGGTTTCGATCCGTGTATTGAGAGATTCTGCGATTGTGCGTAGATGTTCAGAGATTATCCTGGCTATGGTAATTAAATTAGCAAGTTTTGATGACAAAGAGTAGGAAATTCTAATTGAATCCTGTATTCCTTCAAAGTTGATAAACATTAACAGCACAACTTCACAATTTATATTATACGAAAGATAACGTGGTAAAAAAGGATTAAGATATGTTTAACTAAAGTCAAATAATGTACACCCGTACTTAAGAGGACATTTGATTATTCATAGAATGATAAACTAAAGACAATCTATAACTAGTAGAAAAGAAAATACAACTTTCAGCCGACAAATTTGATTCTAAATCGGCATTTCAGCAAATCTATTCTATTGGGTCAAAAAAAGTAAACTTGGATCCGTTTCAGATGTTAATTGCTTGTCAGCCAACAACTTTGTGGTCAATATTTTCTAATTGGGGCCAATTAGGAAGACAGCCCGACCCCACATTGGGCCCCTACGGCTTTGACCGAGATAAAATCTGGAGATTTTCGGTTTCGATGTTAAATAAAACCACTCACCAATTTCGGTTTCTAAAACTTCTTCGCCTTCTTCAGTTGACACCTTGGATTTAGGGGTAGGGTTTCATTTCTTTCCCAACTATGGACACCACCACCACCACCGCCACGGTCAATGGTCAAGTCTCCCAGACCTCGTACTCCTCTTAATCGCCAAATGCCTCCCCACGCGAATCGATCTCCTCTGTTTTCGCGCCGTTTGCCACTCATTTCTGCGCTCAGTCCCATCCCCTCCAAAACCCATTTCTCCACTTACGGTCTCGAGCTTCCCCTCCCCCCAGTGTCGCCCAAGCTCTATCAACCCAAACCCTAACCTCAACACCAAATTTATGCTCCCGTCCACCTTACGCCATCACACCCCTTACCAAAATCTCCAACGCTTACAAAACCACCAAAACATGGGTAGTCCGAGTCAAGGAGTCAAGCTCTGAAAAAGTTCAAGTCCTTGACCCGTTTATTAGGTTTCCTTTCAAAAACTTGTCCAACAAGTTACCCAAGTCCTTGGTTTGCTGGTTATCGGGTCAAGGAATTGACCAAAGTTTTTCGGACTTGTGTTAGTTGATGTTGAGAAAGGTAAAGAGTTAATTGGAATTCACTGTCCTTTTTTCAAGAAAGTGGTTGTTTCTTCATCTCTTGACGATATTAAAGATGGGTTTACGGTTATGGGGATTTATACTGGCGGGAAACTGGGGGTGTGGAGGAAGGGAGATGAGGAGTGGACTACGATTAATTTTGGTTCTGATAGGATTTTCTTCGAAGATGTAGTTTATCATAATGATAAATTTTACGCTTTGACGTCCATGGGTCATGCTATAACCGTGGATTTGAAGTCTCTGAAAGTTAGTGAAGTTTCTGGTCCAATGGGTAATGGGAATTATAAGTACTTGGTGCCGTCTTGTAAGGAACTGTTTTTTATTGATAAACCCTTTTTTGAGGACTTCATCCAGTGTGGCTTTGAGGACGATTCTGATGAAAGGTCTTATCCAGTTAGTTTGAATGTGTTTAAGCTCGACGAGGAGAACCATGTGTGGTTTCCGGTGATGAATGACTTGGAGGACAGAGTGTTGTTCTGTAGTTCGGATTGTTCGTTCTCTATTTCAGCTAAAGAGTTTGCAGGGTGTAAAAAGAATTGTGTTTATTTTACTGACGATTCCTTTGATAAAGGTCGTGATGATCACCCTGGATGGGATGCTGGGATATACGACTTGGAGGATGATACTGTTGGGGCACTCTCAGATTTCCCTGAATATTCTAAGATATTTTGGCCACCTCCCGTGTGGCTTAAGCCGACTAAGTAATTAGTAAGTGTTTTTCTTTTCTCTTCTAATTATTTTAAATATTAATTGTATTATTATTATATTCTCTATAATCTGAAAAGTTGAAATTACCTAGTATATTTGTGTTTTCTATTAAAATTTAGAAGAATGGTAGGACTAATTAAAAGGGAAAAAGAAATTGTAACAATGAAATATGCATAGCATATTCTGATTTTCTGATGGGATTGTTGGTGAAACATCCCAGGCATGAGAGGGTGGACTCAAAATTGAGACCTCGGCATAAGAGTGAGGATTTCAATCGCCCTGGAGGGGTTTAAGGGATAGGAACCGAGGAGCAAGTATGAGGTCTAACAAGTTTTATTTACCATGATGAGAAAAACATTTAGTATCTTTGCTCAAAATAATAAATGTAGATGAATAATGACACTGCTCAAATAGCCTAAATGCAGATAAATAAATCTTCTGCACTTGGGTTGTGCCAATGTTTTATGATATTGGACTATTATGTCTAGGAAACCTTATTCATCTATGGTCACATGATGGATGAATGCGAGAGTAATTTCAGACTGCTCAAAAATCAATAAAGAATTAACCAGTAGAAATTGTCTTATGGAAGCAATTAATCATAAAAGCGAACATGATTAAAAAATGAACATATGCTAAGGATTAATGTAGAGGAGTCAGGAAACAAGACAAAAAGTTTAGAGAATTATTTTAAGGATAGCACCAACAAAAGAGAAGATGAGAATATAATCCAAAATGATTTCTCTTTATTTTTCAGCTACAATACCACTTATCATGCTAATAGTCATGGTGCAACTTTAACATGTCATGATAAGGAAGATGAAAATTAGCGTGGCACAAGTCAGCAAAAATGATAATGTGGTCAATGATTCTAAACAACATGGCCATTTGTAAAACTAGAATAGAAGATGAAAATTTGTAATTCGAAACATGGTTAAGGTGAGGTTTTGTTGAGTTTATTTTCTTGTCTTTCTTTTTAATGCAAGTTGATCAACATACATGGAAGAATATAAAAACACAATTTGCAGCTTTTTGGCCCTTTGAGGGACAAGAAATTGATCTTAATAAGTACTTCAGGGTCCATCAAAATGCTGCTATACATTTTTCTAATTAAAAGAAGTCATAAACTAAAATTCTTATTTTCAATCAAGTTTATAGGTAAGTTTACATGGCAAAAGCATGGTATAGGTGATACAGGACAGCCTAGAGAATTTAGGGATTTAATGTAATTTCTCTAGTATTTATTTTTATCTTTCCCCTAGGTTGAATAAGAGAGAAGACCTCTTTATTTGGATTGTTCTTCTTGCCTGTTCGGTAGAAGAGATTTTTATTTATTTCTATAAATTGATTTTATTGTCTAGTTATTTATTTTCCATATTCTACTTAGGATTTGGCTCAATGAATAAAACCCTAAGGTATAATTTATGGTCTTTCTCCCTTATTCTTAAAGCAAAGCTTTATTGTTAGTTTAGTTATTGATGTGTAAATTGGAGACCATTAAATAAGCATAGGAATTACTTTATTTTTAACATGGTATTGACAAAACAATAGAACCTTTTGATAAACAAATTGATTTTGTCTTTCATTTTATGTTTTTAGTAGGTTTAGATTTACTTTGCTTTTCCTTATTGTTTACTCTTGTTGCAGTACCTCACAATGCTCGTTTTTTCAATATTTTTTGTTTTAGTCATTTGTGCATGAGAATCTTCTTTCGTATGATTCATGTCTGTTTGCTGGATGGTTAAAATTACGAATAAAATTCAAATATGTCTGGTTGGAATGCATTTAGCTCTCGGACTATACAATTTTAGGAATAGTTTTCAAAATTCATGTGCTACCTTCAACTATTATTCACTTGCAGTGAGTGATCCTTATTCGTGGAGTTCATGTTGCTTATACTTTGCTTTCTCTTTACGTAGTACTCTGAAAAATGAGAATGAACTAACAAACCTATGTGTCATGGTTTGTATCTCTTGAAGTTTTTACTGTTTTCTCTAATTTGAAAACTCTCCTTTTATGACTTATTTTTTATTCACATTATCATTTTCAATTGGTTTTGTTAATTATGTTTGATTTTTTTTACAAAGAGTTTTGCATTGCCTTGGGATGTTTTGCATACCAGAATATTTTATTTATCTTGGAAATGATTTTGCTTTTGGACTTGATCATTGCAGGTTAGTTTCTTAAAGGCTGTTTTGCATCAATGTGAAGACTTAAAAAGCCTGAATAGATTTGACTCAGTCTTTGGTACCACTTGTGGTTCTTAGTTTTTGTTTTCCCAAGTTATATGGTATTTTGAGTATATAATATAGGGGATATGCACACTGTTTTTAGCCACCGGCCCTTGTGTTGGTTTAACCTACTAAGCATGCATATATCATATATGTGAACTATGGGTACTTACGTTGATATAATAGTGTTTTTTAATTCTCCTTATTATACATTTCCCTTTTTAATTCTTTTTTTTTTTTAATCGATTATTATCTAAATCATCGATTTTTAGATTCTCTCCCAAACCTAGAGTGGTGAACTAAGAACCAAGGAAGGTAGAGTTTGTAATTGAAAGTTAACGGTCCACATTTAAATGGCATATAATTATTGTCTTTCATTTAGTGGATTGCAGGCTGGGTCAAAAGACAAACAATTCAGATTTTGCTTTTACAGCCTAAGTTACTTTGTCTATTTTAGGCATTAAATAACTCTTTCAATTTATTACCAAATTAATGAAAAAAAATTACAGGGTGATAAAATTAATGGTCCACCTTCAGCCATTGTTGACTAGTACAAAGCGATGAAAGTTATATTCTTGCATTTGGTTTCTGTTTACTTTGCTTAATATCTTATCTACACGGTTTCACTCTCAAACTTGTAAAATGACGATGCAATGGCATAGTTTTGGTTCATTTTTGTCTAATATTTTGTGGCTATGAATTCTTGACTAAAATATCAGTGACCTGAATGGAGGTTTTAAAGACAAAACTGATTATGCAGAGGGTAATTCCGGGCATAGTGTGATGCCTGTGCAGCCTAGACATGCCATCGCTCAGAAAATTCTGGTTTGATAGGCTCTTTTTTTTTTTTTAATTATTATGAAAGTATCTTGGTTTATATTGGATATATTTTACCCCATAATTAAATTATTTGATCTTATTTAGTATACATGTTTGATTGTGTGGTACGTATTTGTCCATAAATCTCTCTCATGAATGCTTTTTCTTTGTATTGAAGAAGATATTAAGGAATTAGAGATATATAAATAGATACAAAAAAAAAAAAAAAAAAAAAGGTTCTGAAAAGTGGAGCATATCTATATAGAAGTTGTGATAAAATGTCTAAAGATAATTATCCTCCCAAATAAAATTTAAATTGCGTTTGAATGGTCCACATCCAATTGACAAATTATTACTTTGTTTCAGAACTTGATTTAGTTGCCTATTTTAGGCCCGTAAATAGCCTTCATCTTTAGCATCATTCTTTCTACAACAGTGAAAGAAAATAACAATGTCACCCACCCATGGATAGCCAATGGTAAAGGCGAACTAAGAGAGTTGCAAATTGGTAGAACCTATAGTCTCAGGTTCGATTATATTGTTCATGATTTACTTGGAAAATCATGACGGTGGGTTGTTGTGAGATAACTCATTATGAAGATTAGTTAAAGTGTGCGTACGTTAGTTAAATATTAGGTTGAACATTTGTAGGTTAGCTAATTGAATACCCTTTTGTGCATCATCATGACAACTTCTACGCGCCTTCTAAAAAAATATGTGCTTATTTAACTGTTTTGCAAAGTATAATCTGGACTTAAAACCAACAAAGGTAATCTGAGTTATGTGTTCGTATTTAATATATTGGTTTGATTGTGTGAAACATATAAGGATAATTGAAAATTTGTCGATAAACTACCTCTGAAGAACCATTTAAACTATATTAAACAAGAGATTGAAGTAAGTATATGCGGGAATTATAGATCGATAAAGAGATCAAAATATGAAGAAAAAACTGTTTCTCTAACCTTGAGTGGTGAACGTACTGAATTAGAACCAAGAAAGGTAGAGTAAGTAATTGAAAGTTCATGCGAGGTCTACATTCAAATGGAATATTACTGTCGTCTTGAAGTAGTGGATGGATTGCAGGCTGAGTCAAAAGACAAAAGCAATTCAGTTTTTGCACCCACGGCCTAACTCACTTTGCCTATTTTAGGGATTAAGTAACTTTTCTAATTTATTACCAAAATAATGAAAAAAATTTACATGCCTCATTATAGTTTTACACACTTTGATATTTATGAACGACCTTCACTTCAACCATTATTCACTAGTTATGACTGATGATGATTATCCATGGATCCTATATATATAAATCAAGGTATTCGTACTGGCTTACGCATACCTTGATTAATCTTCGGAGGAGATATCTATAGTAACCCATTACAACGATCTTCCACTTAAACCGCGGATGCTCAGATAGAGAATCCAAAATGAAAAAGTGCATTTATCCATAATATTTCTAATTCGTTCTAATCATTTGGACTATATTTCTTGCACTCGGCTAGCTCTTGAAAATGCTGAATTGGGTTTTGTACTTAAACCGCTAAATGTTGATTAACTGAATGCAGGTTTTAGAGACAAAAATCGGCTATGGAACGTATAGATACTACTAACCCTTAAAAAATGATTTTTCTTACAAAACATATTAAAGAAGATGTTGAGATAAATCTATGAAGACACGATAAAAAGATTGAAAAAATCTTAGTAAGAAAACGTCAAATTTAGGCGTAAAGAGAAGGTTATTCTTCCCCCTCCACCCAATTAAATTAAAATTTGCCTATTTTGGGCATGAAGCTGTCTTTCATCTTTATTCTCGTGGTTACTAGAATAATTAAAGAAAAATGTCATATGAAGCCAGCCACTCCTTGCTACTATCATCATGCTATTTGTTTTAACATTTTCACTTGGTTTATGTCAAGATATTCACTATTTTTTATACATCAACAAGTGACAAATACAATTTTAAACACAAGGTAATAAAAGATAGGATTTTGGTAAATTACAGCACTATAATAACACAACTTAATAAATTCATAATGTGAAACTTGTAAAATGTAAACCCATCCATAGATAGTCCAGATAGTTAGGGCAAATTAGGAATAGTATAGATTGGTCGGTATTAAGTTCAATTCACAATCTAAACATCCACAATTTAAGTGGAAGGATGTGGCACCCTGAGGATAAGTAAGTGGGGGGCCGTGATGCCCTAAGGACTAGTCGAGGGGTGGATAAACTACTAAGGCTAATTGAACATTATTTTGATTTAAAACCATATATTTTTGGAGTCGATATATGGTAATTAATTAATTATATGGGTGCTCTTGTTAACGTATGTGTGTTAACTTTGTTCTATAAATTCGTGGACACAAAAATGTTTGCTCGAGCTGACTGGTTTTGTGTTAAAAACACTACATTTTATATTGGGTTTACAAGAATTTCATTTTCTCGACTTAATCATAAAGTTTGCCTGGCTGAGAAACCTGAACTTTACCAGGAGGGAAAGTAAAGGAAGCGGCTCCGAAAGCTGCAATGGATCTTTAACCTCATACTGATAAGCTTGAAACCAGCAATGGCGGTGTTTATAATTGAATCTAATCAAGGCCCTTATTGATAAAACTTGTTTGAGTAAATTGTAGTGAAAGGATAAAAGAATTCTTTAGCTTTTTTTGTATACCAAACAAACCTAACTTATTTTCACATTTTAAGCATGAAATAACTCTGTGTATTTGGCCCTCTTTGTTGCCAATATAATGTAACAAAGTAACAATCTTTTATCACATCACATGTCTCATAAACAAAGTGAAATACTTTATTAATTTAATATACTCCCAATAACTGGCTATGGAATCTTAAGTTCTTTCAATCCATGTTACTTATTATGAATGTATCTTGATCTATATGACTTTACAATAAGCAATAGAAATGAATTTGAATGTTATAGATTGCAAAAAGAGTTTTGCTTTCGGTTCACAGAGTCTTCTGTCTAATCTACTTTTCCCCATTAAAGGCAATAAATAGGCCTGCATCTACCCTCTGATTTTGGTGTTCTTGATTCGTCAAAAGCCAGCAACAATTCAGACCCCAATATTATGACAAAAGAGAAAGCAAGAAGAGTCTATTATAACAAAATAAATCTCTTAATAATTTAAACCCACATATTTTTGGAGTGAATACCTTGTAATTTACTGCTTATTATGGGTGCTTCGGATGACTGATTTTGTGTTGAAACATTACAATTTATGTAGGATTTACTAGAATATTTCATCTTCTCTACTTAATCAATGGTTTTGCCAAGCCAAAAAACTTTTTTATTTTTTTTCTGATGATCGGGGCTGTCCGGGCTGATTTGCATACACTTCGACTAATCTCCCGAAGCCCTAAAGTTAACGATCAGATAAACATTTCAGTGAACACCCCTATTAGCAACTGAGAAAAATTGAACTCAATATCTCTTGTGTAATACACCTAAGAGTCTCTATCATCCTATTCGACCACTCGGGTGGTTAACATTGCTGGTTTCTGTTTTAATTTTTTCCCAACCTCTTAATTTCCCATTTAGACTCCTTTGCTCCCAAAATAGTGTAACAATATATCTATGTTGTTTCACATCACAATTCACATAATCAAAATGAATTGCTATATCAACATAATATTTTTTATATATACTTTCAATATTATTGATACTTTTTTTTTAATTTTATTATGAATAATGTATTGGATTTAAATGGGGGATATTTTATATTTGTCTTCCATTATTAAGTAATACATATGCTTCCATTTTTTCCAATTATTGAAGCATAAACATGACCTAAAACATCCATGTTTCAAAAACGGCGAATTATTTTCATTGAATGGAGCATATAACAATAAATGAAATATTTTCTAGCCAAAAAAAGAAAAACTGAAGAGAAAGATTCCCAGCTTAACCAAATGTTTCCAAACCCAGTTGCCTCGAAACCAGAATGGTGATCTTACAATAAACAAGACAATTTTTTTTTTTTTTTTTTTTTTTTGAAATTTGAATAAAATTTTGTCAAAAGGAATTCTGCTTTCGGTTGATAAAGTCCTCATCCTAATCTACTTTTCCCAATTTAAGGAAAAGAATAGCCCTGTGTTTCTCCTCTGATTTCGCTGTTCTTGATTCCTCATAAACCAGAAACATGCCGAACCCAGAATCACGATAAAAGAGAAAACCAGAAAATAAAGAAGAAAAAAAGAAAGATTCCCAGCTTGCAATGGAGAAGAAAAATTTGAGTGTAAAAGAATTATGCTTTCGGATTACAAAGTCTTGAGGGTCGTCAACTTTTGCTCATTATGGCAATAAATAGGCCTGCATCTATTAGTTTGATTTTCGTGTTCTTGATTCATAAAAAACCAGAAACAATGCAATGCATGCACAGCCCAAAATATGATAAAAGAGAAAAGCAAGAAGAGTCATATCACAACTCATTTTTCATATAAATAGAAATTACTTTCTCAAATGATAATTTTGATGTATTTATCCTTTCCCAAAATCTATAAAAATAAAAAAATTTCCCTTAATTATTTTGTCCTTCCACTACGGGCTATGCTCTCTCTATTATATGTGACAAGATATTGAACAAAAGGGTTCTCTATATTACAGTAAAAAGAAGAGCTTTATGATCTTATATTACAGAAAATTACAATAAATAATTTTATTATTTGATGTAATTAAGATATAAATGTCTTCTTGTATATTTAGAATTCTGTAAAATGCTTTCGTCTGACAGAGTTTGTCGTAACTCCTTAGTAAAATTCATGTTCATTTCCATATATTTATTCATTGTAAATTTCAAACAATTGTGATCACCCAAATTGCCCTTTACCCATCTCGGATGCAAATTTTAAAGACACCTGGATAGTTATAAAACTATCTATAATCTCTTCTATAGAATAATTCCCTAGTTCAATATATATAATTGTCCATAGAATGTATCTAACATCTCATTAATGCTACGGTAAATGTTATTAGAGTAAAATATCTTTGTATCTTTCTCAAAGACTTCTCCTCTTTTAATCAATTGATAATTTGAGTTAAGAGTCGTGGGGATAATATTCAAGGAATGAGGACAAACAAAGTCGGGAGAAAGATGGGATTAGAGAGAGTACTTATGTACGAATTGAAATTTGTAAAGGCAAAAAGCATATCGTTTTTGTTGATTCATGTGATGTTGAAGTTGATAACGGTTAATTGTGTGAAGCCCAAAACGTTGACGTTTCTGCATACAATACTTATCAACACGTTGCTGTTTTTTATACTCATATGAGACAATCCTAGCCGTTGAAGCAATCAACATCCAATGGCTAGAATTTATCCAACAAGTCAACCCTATATAAGCAAGCTTTTTTGTAGATTATAGTAGCTCTCTCTTGTGTGTTCGAATTAGGATTCTTGGTGCTTTGGTTAGGGTTCTTCAATCTTATCTCAAATCTGTGTAATCGGTGTTACAATCTTTGCAATTGTACTGTGAGGATAGTATTTCCTTCAGGATTAGAGAGGCTGGTCCAGGTTTCTCTATAGATTAACGATTTGGGTGGTTTGGGTGGTTTGTTCAAGATTGAGAGTTGTGCGTGCCTTTGATAATCGTTGTAATCTGTAAAGAACTCTTTATTCCTAGTGCCGTGAACCCCAAATTCTTGGAGCTCAACGTGGACGTAGTCTTTCCGGTTATTTTTAAAGGTGAACCACGGTAAATTTGGTTATTATTGTATTCTTTATCTTGTGTGTGTTGATATATTAGTTTGTGTGTAATTAGCGGCTGATTGATCACGAATTGGTATAACAATAACTATGATAATGATAATACTAATACAATGCTTAGATTGGTTTACCACCCACCCACTTTGTATTTATTTGAGAAATTGAATTTGTTACCTTAACTTGACACAACGAAAAAGATATTTTGGTAGCTATTATCATGAACTTGTTATAGCATTTATAAAATCGATTTCAAAAGAGAATTTTGATTTGTCACAAATGCTCTTGGACTTTTTGTGACGTTTAATGTAAAATGTGAAATAAAGTGATATTTTGATGGGGTCTTTGCTTGGATAATAACAAAGAATTTTCCCTAGAAAATGAAAGAAAATTAAAGGGGGTAACAATTCGTCAATCTTGGGAAGAAGGAAAAGTTTTTAGCAAAAAAAACATGAGAGAATTAATGACAAAAGTGTTAAGAAAGTGAGATGAGTTGATTATTTGAATATAGAAAATATTTGTACAACTTTCGTGAGACAATACTGGGATTTTAATTTTCCATTAAAGCTAGGTTGGGAAACAACCTACTTTTAATGTTGATTGCTATAAAAAGACCTAAAAAAAAAATTAGATACATATAATTATCAATTTATCCATTATTTGAATATTAACAAACTCTCGATATTGAATCGAAGAATTTGTACACCAAATCATCTATACATTAAATCAATAAAAATATATATGTTCTTGTAAATAATCATTTCAAATATACCAATGACGTTGGTGTCTAAGACTAAGAAAAGAAAAAATAATGCATACATGACCCTAATAAGAGAGGGATCATATAGATGTTTTTCAAACTATTTGGGTGTTTTAGATACTATAATCACCAAGGCTAAAATGGCCATTTCACTCTTAAGGGCAGAAGTCCTGGCGGCCTGGCCTATAAAAACCCTTCATCTTCCTCTTCGTCCACTACAAAGCCTCCTTCATCTTCAAAAAAATCACCTTCTTTTTCATTCTCTCTACGTTTAGCATCTCATTTGTCTTTGCTAACAATGGACTTAACCTTACCAGACTACTCTGAGCTTCCCAATCACTTACTAAGTGTGATCGCTGAATACCTCGACGATCGGTTTGACACACACCATTTCCGCGCAGTTTGTAATTCTTTTTTTGATTCAGCCGAACGTCCGAGAATACCCATATCTCCCCATAAGAAAATCAAAGTTTACTACCCCTTGTGTGTCGCCCTTGACCGTTGGGAAGAGTTTGTTCTTGCAGAATCGACAATATACGCGTTGGAGCCCATAAACAAAATCTCCAATACCCATCTGACCACCAAGACTTGGTTGGTCAGAGTGGAAGAGATCGAGCCAGGAAAAGTCATTCTCGAAGACCCTCTTTCGAGAATTTACGTTAACCAAGTGACCAGGAAGTTGCCAAAAACACTAAACCTTCTCGAATATCGCGCCAAGGAGATAGCTAAATCTTTCCGCCTTGAATTGGTTTCGCCATCCATTGCAAGGCACATATTGTACTTTGAAAAAGTTGTTGTCTCTCCGCTTGGTGGCTTCTGCGTCATGGCTCTCGTTAGTGGCGGGAGGGTGGGGATATGGAGATTTTCAACCCGCAATTGGCTCAACATTGCCGTTGTTGAAAATGGTTTTCGTTTTGAAGATATTTCTTATCATGATAACAAATTCTACGCCATGGGCACTCGGGGTGTGACCATGACTGTGGATCCAGAAACTTTGGATATTTTTGAAGTTGCGGGCCCGCTTCAGAGATGGAGTAGCGGGTTCAAATATCTTGTGGATTCCTCTGATGGAATGTACCTGGTTGATAAGTTCTGGGTGGAAGAATGTTGTGCTTGCCATATGGATATTGATGAAGAAGACTGTCCAATCCGTTTAATTGTGTTCAAACTCGACGAGCAGAGGCGCGAGTGGCTGCCTTTGCGAAACGAGTTGAGGGATCGGGCGCTGTTTGTGGGTGAGGATTGCACGTTCTCTGTTTCCACGAAGGACTTCGCTGGGGTTAAACCCAACTGTGTTTACTTCGCGGATGATGAGTTTTACAGGGTTAATAGGCATCATCCTGGTGTCAATACTGGCCTTTTTGACCTGGAGACTCAAATAGCTGCGCCACTCGGTGCTTTCCCAGGTTATTCTAAATTATTTTGGCCACCTCCCACATGGCTTAAGTAGAGCTCCGCCTCTGCTTCTACGGCCAACTGAATGGTAATTGTATTATGCACTTTCCCTGTGATTACTGCTTCATAATAAGATTGCATGAGAAACTTCTTACATTTTTTTTTATTAGCATTTCAGGTTTTCTGCTCGGATCGGAGATCGAGCTATGTTCAATCTTCCTTCTCAAGCCTTACATCCGGTCAAGAAATTTTTGTTTTACAGTTCTAACCACTCGTAGGTACAGATCAAAACAACAGTTAGTAGTCTTTGCTTTCATCAGTTTAGTTTTGTTATGGATTCTGGGTACTGTTTTAACAATTTTTTAATTTTTTTTAAAAACTCTGTAAAGTGTGTACTGTTTTAATTAAGTAACAAGAAATTTCTGATGATCATTTATATGGGTTGCTGGCAACATGGTTATATATAAGTTTGTGTTGGAGTGGGGAGTGGGGGATTCATTCGGAAATGAATGTAAGGAGAAAGTAAGCTAAAGATGTTTTGAGAATGTGCAGCTGAAAACTTCCATTTTAAGGTTGATGTGCATTTAAAGATTTGAAAATTGAGCTTCACAGTAGCTCTGTTTTGACCACTGTAATCTGATCATCCTTCATACTTGATTCTTCATTAATTAGCTAGTAGCCATCCCAGCTGTAGTCTGTAACATAACTCCAATTTATTCACATTGAATGAGAGATCAGATTGAAACAAGGTAAAGAACAAAAATTCGTAATATTATTAAATCTAAATTCTCTTTGGCATAAAATAAAGATCATCTTCAAGTAGCCAAATGTATCATATATGGTATTCAATAAGCTTTATATTTACACTTACAAGCATTTGTTATAAGTTTTCCTTCTAATATTACAACATTTTAAGTCATGTATATCTCGTATATAAATTTAATTTTTAGTATTTCATAGACTATGAAGGATATAGAAAAAAAGAAGGAATAAAATGTTCGACTCCAACCACCATTGGGTCTCAAGCTCCTGTGTTCGAGTCCTTCCAGGCTCTAATAGGGGTGGCCACTGGAAGATTATCTGGACGGACTTTTAAGACCTCGGGGGATTAGTTGAGATATATGCAAGCTAGCCCGAACACCCCTGGTGATGAAAAAAAAATGTTCGACTTCCACTGTGATCGTGAAGTCACTAAAATGTATTTAACCACCCTTCGGTGGTCGAATAGTTGAATTAGGACTCTTGTGTGTAATACTCAAGAGATCCTGAGTTCGAGTCACCTCGGTTGCTAATAGGATAACTTCAGGGTCTTGAGGGTTAGTCAAGATACGCGCAAGCTGGTTTGGACACCTCCGGTCACGAAAAAATCAAAAAAAGATAATTTTTAATAATTTATTTTACAATTTGAGAGTAAGTCATATATATCTCATTAATAAATTTTTAGTGTTATGGATTGGAAGCTAAAAAAATTTATTACGGCTTATCCTTCTCCTTCACCAAAACCCATCACTGTAGACCCCAACAACCCAGCCTTCCAAGGTCAGTTATATAGGACACAAAAATGAAGGAGCCCATTGGAGCAGGCACAAAATTCAATTCAATAAAGTATCCTCTTTTCTCTCTTTATTGTTGTTGATGCTTGACTTTAACACCGACAACTCGCACGTGTAAAGTGCTAAATTGTTCCTAGAAATTAAATATGAATGATTGAGATAATCGAATGCAAAGACTAAATAATAAATGAGAGATGATTTTTAAAGTGGTTCGAATGCTTAAAGTGAATCCTATGTCCACTATTTCTTTTATATGAGAGATTACAAGAGGCTGCATATAACGAACAGTGAGCAGAGGTACAATAGCTTAATATTCAGAGAGAATATCAGGTTAGTCTCTTTCTCGTAGGTTGTTTTTGCTCTGAAAATAAATATTACAATTAGAATGATGTTTCAAGATCAAAATCTCAAATATAAGATAAGAAGTCCTCTATTTATAGTAGAAGAATTTAAGGTAATGATTACAAATCTGTAAGTGGGTAGATGTCATGCAAGTTCTTCCTTGCCTCCCATTAGCTGATAACTTAGGAAATATCCTCAAATTACCCAGGGTTTGGACAAGTGTGTGACCCTCTATCACTTATAGACAAAACATGAATCAGCCAAGTTGATAACAGCCATATTCTTCCTGTTATAGAGTGATGTGGCAGCTCATGGACAACGCAAAACCTTTCAGAATTTTGATTGGTGATTGCTGACATAATGTAATAACTCCCTTTTATGCATATACTCATAAAATATACATAGTGAAAACACATGTAAACTAACATAAATAGTTGGGCCCAAATTTTTCTTTTATTAAACATATATATTCTTTGTACAAAACTCATGTCATATACAAAACTATGAACAATAAAGTGGACAGTGTAGCCATTTCCCCTCGCTTGTCGACATCCATCCGACCGTGTCCTCACCTAGATCCTGCAAAAACGTAGGAAACAACGGGGTGAGCACAAAACAATGCTCAGTAAGTAAATCCTCTACTCAGCTATCCCCATAACTCTCTCTCTAATTATTTCCTTACAACTCCCATTACTCTCTTTACTTTCTCTCTCTCTCTCTGTTTCTCTTTTCTATTAACTCTCTCTCTAACTAGTCACGGCCAGGGGCGGACCCAGGCCCCTTGAGGGTAGGCTCAGGCCTGCCCTCAACTTTAAAAGAAAAATTGAAAAATTTTATTAAAAGGTAAAAAAGAAAAATTAAAAATTAAAAGTTAAAAAATTAAAAAGTTAGGTTTTATCTTTTTTATATTCAAGTTTTTCTTTCCCAATTCCCAACTTTCCTCTTACATGCAGATCTGAATTTGGAGTGATTGTAATCCATCTTTTAGTAAACCTTTGTGTATTTTATTTTTGTTAGAGTTGTGATTGAGCTCTAAATTTATATAGAATATTTTTGGTAGATTTGTGGTTGTTGTAAATGGTAATCATATTTTTTCCTATGATTTTGCATTAAATTTCGATAGGATTTAGGATATTTCTCATACAATTTGGGCCTTAATTGTTACCTAATTCTATTAATTTGTCTTTGCAAGCCTAAACGATGATTTTGAGCATAAATGACAGTTTTGACTGTAAATTGCGTAACTTGAGCTTGGAAACACAGAATGACCTGATTTTAGAAGATTTGGAAAGCTAAGAACCAGAGCTACAACTTTCATGTTTTGGGTTTTTCCTAATTCTGACTGGACAAGGGTGAAAACTTGGCTTGAAGTCGTGAACAGAATGTTGGAAACGGAAGAAAAATGTCTTTGGATGTGCTTTAGTATTTCTGCCATAACTTGAGCTTTAGACCTCGGATTGTGCTGATTCTTGAACAAGTAGAAAGATAATTTAAAGGGCTATAATTAATGTGTTTAACACTTTTCCAGATTCAGACTCTTTAATGCTCAAATGTGGCCCGAAAGATTCTCGCTGCTATAAGGAAAAAGCTTCGCCGCGGCAAAACTGCGTCAGATGTGAAAAATAAAATGAAGCGTTTTGGCTTGCTAGGGCTTCGTCCTTAAGTGAAAGAGGTATAAATTAGCATGAAAATGAAAGAAAAAGGGTCTTGGTTCGTCATTTGGAAGGCAGCTCTTGGAAGGAGAAGATTATTGAAGATTTGATCTTCAAATTAGAGAAGATTTCTCCATCTTTTGCTTGTTTTTCAATGATGAATCTTGATTCAGTTTGTTTTTGTTATTTTATTTTGTTTTTGAGTATGAATTGAGTTGTTTAGCTAGGGTTTGATGTAACATTGATACAATGATTCAAATTTATATGAATTGATTTACTTTGAGTTTTAATTTCATGATTGAGTGTTTATCTCTTTGCTTAATGACTTTTGGATGCTTGATCACCATTCAAATGTGTATTGTTGACAATGGGACTAAGAAGTGATTGATTGTGCCTCTTGGGATAAATACCGTAGATTAAGCAAACGCTAGAAATAGGTTTACCGATTTATGAAATCTAGATAGAATTCCATAAAGCTTAAAAAACTTTGAACTATTAATCTTCATTTTCTTGGGTGCGGAAGCTGAATAGGGATAAGTAGGAAAATATAGCCTGAGAAGATATGTTTTACAACTTAGGGAATTCGGTTTTCAATCAAGGAATTATAACTTGGATAATAGATTCTATGATTTGGGTTAGCGTATCTAGGTGAAATCAACACCCTAACATTTTTTTTAGCATTTTGTTTAATTAGTTATGTTGTTGGGTATTGCTTTAATTTCATTCTAATTCATTTATATTTTCTTAAATTGTATTTAGTTCGTTAATTTTCCATCAATCCAATTTATTGTTGCTTTAATTAGGACTTAAACTAGAGAAATCGGTACTTAGTAACAGTATCCTCGTGGGAACGATACTCTATTTATCACTTTATTACTTTTTGCGACTAGTGCACTTGCTACATTTGCATGTTTGTCAAAAATACGCATCAGTAGACTCATTTAATTATATTGGATTTAAGTGGATCGTTAGATTCTCATGATGTTTTTATCTCTTCACATTGAAGAGGTTTTTCCACGTAACAATTTTCTTGTGTTTCTTTGTAAGGTTATTTTCTTTGTTTTCACTAGTTGATTGGCAAGCAGTGGCAGAGCGAGGGGGCCTCCCCTGGACAAAAATCCTGGGTCCGCCACTGGTCACGGCCCCATCTGACTGGAGGCACGGTTGGGACTCACTCCCACTCTCCGTGACTTTTACTCATTCTAGCCAATCGAACTTGGTTATGCATGGATTCAGAACTCTTGGCCATGTGAGTGTATAAAACTCTCTTGGGTAAACTCGGGTATAGCCCTCATCCGCATGCACTCTCACGGGCTACACCACTTCTCTTTCATACTCATGCCGCTCTCTCAATAGGGTGTACATGCGGGGATACTCTACCCATACTCACAGGTTCCCCATCGTATAACCTACTCTATTCTCTTGTCTAGCACTACTTTGTCTTTATTCTCTAGTGCTCATTCTCTCTTTCTCTCTACTCTTAGAGTAGTTTAAGCTCAATTTCTCTACTCTCTTCTACTCTCTTTTTCTAATGCATAATTAATACATGATTAATGCACATATATGACTCATGTTCGTTAATGCACTTATGAGATGCAATTATGCTATGTAGCACAAATTAAGGCTTTCTACTCTTACTCATGCTTCTCTTGAGCATTTCATCATACAACTTATGTGCATATAAAGCTCTACTTAAACAATAACTTTTCTCTTTTCTCTAATCATCCAAAATGGGAGAAAGGCTCCCTTATACTTTTTAATTTCCCTGTCAAAGGAAAATACTTCTATAAATTTGCTCAAAACTTCCTTCCACTTCAATTAAACTCAACCCAACATCAAGCAATCTCAACACTTCTCATATTTAAGTATAAGCAACAACATACTTACACATACATAAATCTATACTCAAAAGATTATTGAATCTCAACTTGGTTGGATTTACTTACCTTGTGAGGAAATAGTTTCTCTAATACTTCTCCTTTCCTTTGGTAGCTTGATTTCTCTCTACAACTTTAAATAACAACCACAACATAAGACTTTAACCAAAACATCATAAAACTCTCATCTAAAGCAAGAATCCTTACCTTAGGATGCTTTAGATTAAAACTCTACTAAAAACTACTTAAAAAGTCCTTAGAAATCCTGGGAAGATTGAAGGAAATTTGAAAAGAAGTAGAGAATGGAAGAGGCGGTGGAAATGGATGAAATGAAGGGTTCTCTACACTTAACCCTTTTTAGCTCAACTTATACACAAACATCCCCATTTTGCCCTTACTATTTCTTAGAAATTCCATCCATATCCTTTGATTCCCTACAAACACACCCCCATACTAACATATTCTCTATGAAATTTTATTACATTTTACTCCCCACTTTTCCTGCTAATTAAGGGTAGAATGGTCAAATTGTCCTTAAGGAAAAATGTCTAAAACTTAACAAAACTTTTCAGCCGACCCCTCGCCGCGGCGAATACAAATCCGTCGCCACGGCAAAACACTCCAGCAGCTACCCCATGGGCTGCAGCACCTCTTCGCCGCGGCGAAGATTATTCTTCGCCTCGGCGAAGCCTGTAACACAACATTTCGCCAAGTCTTCAAAAGTTTTAGGGCAAACACTCAACCAACTCAACATACAAACTCAATTAAAACTGAATCAATGAACCTTTAAGCAATACAGCAAATCTTAACTACGTACCTCAAGTGGGACGTTACACATAAGCTAACGTCAGCCCCGATTTTTTAGACATAACAATTATAAAGCAAAATTATAATTTTCTTTTAAAATATTTTTTTTTACACAAATTTAATATATTATTTTTCATAATTAATTATTATACTTGTTATAAATTTATAAATACAAGGCTATTCGAATATAAAACTTGTTTGGGGGTTTTGAGAAAAAGTAGGAACTCAAATATTTGTTTGAGATGGTAGAACTCAGCGAGATTGGACAAATCAAACTTTGCAGAAGGGCATCTAGAATTGGATTCCGGAGGACAATCGAATTTGAATGTGAGCCTCTAGAATTGGATTCCTAACAACAATCAACCTTAAAGAAGAGCATATAGAGTTAGAATAACTTTAAGGATAGTATATAAAATTAAATTTAATTAATATCGATTCGCGACATGTCAACAGACTCAACACAGAAACGTAACATCACTCTATAAATTTTTCCAATTAATATAGTCATATTACTTGAAGTTCAGGATTAATCCCCCTAGCCCTGAAGTTATAAGGGTCTAATATGCCCTCCAGTAGTCATCTCTATCAGCAATTGAGGTGACTCGAATTCAATACCTTTTGAATAATATATCTACGAATTCTTATCCAACCATTCAACCATCTAAGTTGATATATTTTCCTCGGTATACCCTCCTGTTGCCACTCTTCCTCTTCTTGCATACGTATTCAGGACTAATCCCCCGGCCCTAAAGTTAAGGGTCTGATATAACTTCCAGTAGCCATCCCTATTAGTAATTGAGGTGACTCGAACTCAAGACCTCTTGAATAATATATCTACGAGTCCTTAGCCAACCATTCAACCACCTAAGCTGACACATTTTTCTTGGTATGCCCTCCCGTTGCCACTCTTCCTCTTCTTGCATACGTATTCATGACTAATCCCCCGGCCTAAAGTTAAGGGTCTGATATAACTTCCATTAGTCATCCCTATTAGCAATTGAAGTGACTCGAACTCAAAACCTCTTGAATAATATATTTACGAGTCCTTATCCAACCATTCAACCACCCAAGCCAACACACCTCCCGTTGCCCCTCTTCCTTTTCTTGCATTCGTATTCAGGACTAATTCCCTAGCGCTGAAGTTAAGGGTCTGATATAACCTCTATTAATCATCTCTATTAGTAATTAAGATGACTTTAACTCATAACATTTTGAATAATATATTTATGAGTCCTCATCCAACCATTCAACCATCCAAGCTGATGCGGTTTTTTGGTATACCCTCATGTTGCCACTCTTCCTCTTCTTGCATAAGTGTGTATACAAAAGACAAAATCAACAACTATATTGTTATACAGGTGTCACCGAGGATGAGAAATTTTGCTACCAATCTTTTCAAGTTTCAACTCATTTGTAAAGCTCAACTCAACTTCAGTGGTACCTGTAAGAATTTGTTTTACACAGAGCAAGTAAACGTCTGGGAATTTGTGAAGATCAAGGGTAGAATGGAGAGGTCCTTGACTCCTGGGACTGGGAATCTCTGATCCAGGGCCTGCCATAATTGTACTGTAGCTTCACTATTTTTCACCACTTCAAAAGTTAAAGCTGACACATTTTATATAAACAATTATTTCTTCTTCACCCAACTCTTTTTCCCTTTCTCCTTCACCGTTGGATCATCATCCAACATCACCCTTTCAATTGGTTCTTGGTATATCCTTCAAACGTGATTTTCTTTAAACTTCTGGACCACCGTTTGATTAGTAGTAATCCCTGTTAATAAATAGTATTGATTCTGAAACAGTACCAGATATTCTGCAAATCAAACGCATGGGAGAATACATACATTATCTCCTAAGTGGAAAGCGTGAATTTCACACTTGGAAGTTGGAACCACTCTCTCACTTACTCGATCAAATTCAAATCCTTGAAGCCATGAACAACTTTTCGTCTCCTCCACCCTGGTTGTCTTCTTCTTCTTCCCATAATGTTAAGGCCAGGGTTGGCAACCCAGATTGGACGGATTTCCCTTTTAACCTTCTCTTATCCATAACTAAACACCTCCCAACAAGAACTGGCATTCTGCATTTTCGTGTCGTCTTGTCTCTCGTTTATTTTCGCAGTCCCCTCTCCTCCAAAAATCCCTTTTCCAACCTCGAAACTCTCCATCTCTCGCCCCATCATTGGTCCACTCCGTATGTCTCGATCTAACTTTATACTGTCCTACTCAACAGTTTATGCTATTAAACCTCTTCACAAAATCATCTACACTCACAAAACCACTAAAACGTGGCTAGTTAGAGTCACGGAGCTGAGCTGCGGGCTGCTCAGCGTAGAGGATCCGCTTTTTTAGAACATGAACCTGTTGGAGTTGTCGACTACTTCAGCATTAATGGGTAACGGAGACGCACTCGGGGGTCCCGCTGCCCGGTCAGCGGGCTGGTGCCCTGCTCCCCGGTGAGCGAGCGGGGGTCGCGGGGGCAGCGCCCCTGAGCCCGTAGGCGGTTTTGGGCTTTTCCATGTATAACCGCTGTAGGATTCCTTTTAAGTTTAATTCCTTTTTGGATTGGGCTTAGGAATAGGAATTCTTGTAAAACTAGGTTTAATCCCTTAAACCTAGTATATAAACATTCTTTTCTCTTGTTATGGGTGTGAGAACAATTCATTCATTGTAAACGAGAGAAGTGAGGCATATTGTAATAATATTGACTCAGCTGGACGTAGCCTACATTGGGTGAACCAGGGTAAATCGCGCGTATTACTTTCTTTGTTTACTGTTTGTTTTGTTTAACTATTATTATTTTGTTCCTGTTGCTTCTCTATTTCGTTCAGAACCGACCTTGTAAGGGCTAGTGTAAGGTAGGAATCGGAATTGGAACCCCAAGTACTCACCAGTTTCAGTTCTATCCTAAATTTTTGCACACCCATAGTTTAAACCGTTCATAAATGTTAGAAGTTGTAATTTCTTTTATATCCCGATTTAATTGACTGTTATGATATATATATATATACAAATTTAGTAAGTTGTTATAATGTATATATGTCGTTGGTCCCTTCTCCCAAGTTATTATTTTATTTTTTATTTTTAAAAATTCGTGCATGCCAAACAAGTGCATTAAAGGTCATTATTTTATTTTTTATTTTCCAATTCTGTGCTAAACAAGTGCGTAAAAAAGATTTTTGAATTAAAAAAGAAGAGAATAATTAAATTTTGATTTTTTTACTTTTTGATGGAACTATTTGTTATTTTTTAAGATATGGGGATTACTCATTGCTAAGGATTTAGGAATTAACCCCTTTCCCATTCTATATAAATGTAGAACTCATCGTTGTTCGGAGAGTAGGCCCTCGGTTTCATTTGATAGAGCTAGAGCCATGAGCAGAATCGAACTTTCCTCCTCTATCCCCTCTTCTTCTTCTTCAACGGGTAGCGTTCCAGCACGCGACTGGGGGAGTCTCCCCAAAGATGTACTTCCCTTGATCTCTAAAAAATTGTATTCAGTGCACTATACCCGTCAGGTTCGCGCCGTCTGTCACCATTTTAAATTCTCAATTCCGAATCCTCCAAGACCCCCAAACCCACGATTGGATCTTCCATATCCCTTTCCTGTTGAATATCCATCAACAAGTTTCCCTGATGAGTTCTATGTACTCGTCGAGTCCAAAATTTATGCCATTGAGCCTCACAATGCTGACGAAACCACTCGGACCTGGATGGTTAAAGTTCAAGAGTCCCATACTGACAGAGTCCAAGTGGAGCACCCGCTCTCTAGGTTTCTTCCTCCACCGTTCGCCGACAACTTACCCAACGCTCTGAATTTGCTTGATCTTCGAGTAGTGGAAGTTGATAAAAAGTACAGACTCCAGCACTTTTCTGGAATTGAAGGTAAAATCCTTCCTGTTAGCAATACGGAACCTATATCTTTTAAGAAGGTGGCTGTGACTACTTGTTATAGCCAGGATGATGATAAATTCACCATTCTGGCGCTGTTTAATTATAAACTTGCTCTTTGGAGAAACGTTGACAAGGACTGGATTATTATCGAAAGGGATCCTGATAAGTTTGAACGTCATGATGTGTTTGTGGATATTCTTTACCACAATCAAACTTTCTATGCTTTGACCATGTCGGGCATCGTCACAAGAATAGATGCAGAGACGTTGACCTTCTATAAAATTACTCAGCCAGCCCAATTTGGTAATAAAGGGATTTTACACTTGGTCGGATCGCTGAATGACTTGCTTTTAGTTGTGAAATACCAAAGCTGGTTCGAGCTTGGTACTTATGACGGGTTGTCTTTCAAGGTTTACAGGCTGGATATGAGAAGGCTAAGTTGGATTCGAATGGAGAGTGGTTTGGAAGATCGAATCCTGTTTCTGGGTGATGATTGTTCCTACTCTGTTTCTGCCAAGGAGTTCCATGGTTGTCGAGGGAATTGTATTTATTTCCATCATTTTAAATGCTCAAGCTTTGTTATTACTAAAAATGTTCAACCCAGCAAGAAAATTAGCGTTTATGACTTGACTGAAGGTGCTGTTGTTGAAGGATTTCCGGAGATCTTTTCTCCTCCTCCATGGTTGGAGCACCATTCTATGTCAGTTCCTCGTGACCAAATGTAAATGCTTCTCAGCACTTTCTATATCTTTATTCTTATGCCCCTTATTTACTAAAAATGTTCTCTTTTTTAATATATCCGGAAAATGAAAGAATATTTAAGTCCCCTAGTACATGAATTTGATTATTTTTCTCTGTGTTGATAGCTCTGAAATACCATACCATAATGAATCTCCAAGCTGTGTTCTTTTTAAACACTCTGTGTTTTGTATACTGGCAAAAATTATTCAGCATATTGTCTTATGAGTAACTTGCATTGTGAACTAAAGGTTGCTAGTACAGAAACTTGATACTAGATTTTATTGCTGTAGCAAACTTTTCTTTCAGTTTCTGGTTATATGATCACTGCTTCAGTTTTTCCATTTTTCTGTATATTGAGGCTATTTAACTGATTGCAGGAGAACTTTAACATATGCGGTTGATTGCAACTAACCTATTTATTTCCACTTTCTTTTCCTCTTTCAGCGGATGATCAAAACAGAATCTATAGCTGCTTCAGGGCAATTCGCAGGCGGGTCAAGTCTCCAACATCGTAAAGTTTGTAGTTTATAGTTCTAACTACTCTAAGTTGCTGCAGAAGCCTTGTTCTTAGTATTTGTGTATATGTACCAGTTTAAGTGTGTCATAGGAGTATTATGAGTAGTGTTTCAACTATAGATGGTTGAGGTGTTGGTTTAAACTATTAAGCGTGTACTGAATATGGATGATTGAGAAGTTTTGTTAATGTAATAATGCTAAGTTTACTTCCTAATTCTCTTTGCTACACCTTTTAATCTTGTTGATGGTTTCTGATTGATGTTATTTTTAATGTACCCCAATATATATATATATATATTTTTTTTTTTTTTTTTTGGTGACCGGGATATCCAGTCAGTTTGTGTGTAGTTTGACTAATTTATGGGATCTATTGAACACTCTGTAAGCCCAATGGACCACGTAAGTCACAAATGTATCCCAGTATGTAGTCATGCAATTTTTTCTAACGTTTGCAGTTCACAATCCCTTCACGTAAAATGTTTTTAGATTCATGAAGGTTCATTTACCGAGCTTTAGAAGCTTATAAGAAGGGAGTGGAGTTATCGATCATGTGTCAGCAGCCTATTGTCGGTATCGGGAATTTCCAATTACATTGTGAATATGAATGTGAAGCTATTGCAATGATCTATCTAGTTGTACGAGTATAACCGGAAAAAAAATGATACATTTAAACGGTAATCGTTTTTCCCTTCTACAACCAGAAGATACATTTTGTTATTTGGAAGTGTAGATCGGTTAGAGAGTCTTGTTCTGAGACCACCCGACTCGTCGGAAATTCTATCTATGGAGGTCAGTCGTCAATAGTCGTGAGAGAGAACTTGAAGTTGACAACTACCTTAATTGTCTCAGGGTTAAACCGACACTAGGTGATGAATAATTGCACTATAATTGCACTATACTTAAGAGGAATCATAAGTTTACACTACTTCTTCACCTAATTTCTGTCTATCATTATCAGCATTAAAACTTTGATAGTATCTGTTGGCAAGTGATCGTCCATCAGATCTTCCATCATATTGGCATTTATAGATATATTGACTAAAGTCACTAATCATCGTTTCAATTGGGAACATTGGCGTCGGCTGTACCCAAAATGTGGTGACACTATTAAATTAGCTTTGGCGTATTCGGAGAATGGAAATGGCACTGCTCCCACTCAAATTTTCTTAGTGCTATCCGAAGCCCGGGGGCCCAAAGCTTTTGTTTCTGCACTATGTTCGTTTAGTCCTGTCTCAAACAAACTTGCGCGGTTCAACTCAAAGCTCTTCCAACGCTCAATTTTCTTTTAACAATATTACATATATAAAATTGAGCGATTTGTAACCCAACCTACACAAAAATTAATTTGGTAACATATTTTTAAGAGTTAATAGACTTCTCCTCAGGTTTCATACCTTTAATTGATGGACAAAAAAGATTATCAAGTTAACGCAAACACTCCATTTCTTTAACCTCCGTTAGGACTATGTTAGGGTTATTTAAATTACACCCCTTCTAACATTAAAAACCGATAGTTTTCCCATAATTAGCTCTTACACCCTTTGTTGTCCCTTTTTTTTTGTTAAATTTAATTGAGGGAAAGATAAAATAGAATTTTTATTTTCAAGTTTGTGCCTTTCTCTCAATTAATTTAACATAAAAACTTGATGGTAGGAGGTATAAGTGGTTACTTATTGTTAGAGTTGTCGACTACTTTAACATTGATGGACATTTTCCATGTATAACCCTTATAGAATTTCTTTAAGTCATTAATTTCTTATTGAGTTTGGACTTAGAAATAAGAATCCTTGTAAAACTAGGTTTTGCCACTTTAAACTTAGTATATAAACATATTTTTCTCTTATTATGAGTGTGATAATTAACAATCATAGGACAATTTATTCATTGTGAACGAGAGAAGCTCATATTGGGTAATATTATAATAATATTGAATCGGCTGGATGTAGCTCATATTAGGTGAACTAGGGTAAATCATACATGTTATTTTTTCTTTGTTTATTGTCTGTGATTTATTTTTTTGTTATTTTGTTCTCGCTGCTGTCTCTATTTCGTTCACTTATAGGGGGCAAGTTGTCAATTTTTTTTGTTGAAGGAGGTGTTAATTAATAACCTTAAAAGAGTGGAGTGTCTGTGTTAACTTAATAATATTTTCTACGCTGTGAAATGTTGAAACCTCATTAGAGATATATGTAATTAAATCTATCTTTAATTGTAAAATGATACATAAATAAATAAATTTATAAAATCAACTGTGACGTGGATTGAGATATAAAGATAAGATATAAACTATGTATATACATATATAACATTGGAAGCTGTTGTTTGCACTTCTCTTCCATTGTTGAATTTTCTCTACTCAATGTGGGGGACTGAAACCGTTGTTTGCGCTCCTTCTTCCATGGCTGAATTTTCTTCAGTTCCCGTGTGGGGGCCAAAGCTCTTGTTCTCATCTCCTGCAGCTGATGAAATCTGTCTAGTGCAGTCTGAATTCTGAAAGCAGTGGGGGCCATAGGGCTTGATTGTCTACTCCTGCAAATCAATAACATTTTTGTGGGTCTAGTTTTCACATGACATTTTATTTCTAACAATTTAGTCCTTCTAATGTTCATCTACTTTTAAAAGAACAAAAGGGTATTTACATACTTGATGATGTAGGACAACTTTTACAAGTTCATTAGCTTTCCCATTGTTTGTCTAAGTTGAATAAGGAGTATAGTTATTTAGAAACAAGCTTTAGGTTGCTGTCATAAATTTGACTTGTTTTCTTGTGGATTACAGTTACAGAAGCCGTTTTTGTTATGGATTTGATTTGTTTTCTTGAGGGTTTTCTTGTGAATTCAGAAAGCTTTCTTTTAGATTCGAAAGTTATTATTTGTGAATTCAAACATGTTCGTGAATTCGACCCACAACACTAGAATGTATTTTGTATCTTTTATTTTATTTATATAATTTTTTTTTGTGACCAGGGGGTGTTCGAGCCAGCTTATACGTACATCAATTAATTTCTGAAAACCTTGAAATTAAAGACTGGATAAACCCTTTAGTAGCTACCTTTATTAGCAACGGAGGATAATTAAACTTAAGATCTCTTGAGTAATATACCCAAGAATTTCTATCGTCTCATCCAACCACCTAAGGTTGGTTTCTAATGTCTATCCATCTATGTTAGTCCTTGCGTCATTTCTTCTTTTATATTTGGGCGGTGAAGTACATGTAAGTGGTTTGCTTAAAACTTGGTAAGTGACCCCAGGTTGACACTTGGAAATGACTGAATTTTGAAGCAAATGCTGCCCCCACCCCAAACACAATTGCTGAAAAATATAGGAAGTGCTATTGAGCTTTCAGGAAGTGGCCCTCCTTCTCGTACAATAAATCTAGATACGGGTGATGGCCCCTCCTTTCTCTAACCAGTGTAACCACCATTGGTGCATGTATGCTATCAACTATGAAGCTTTCCCATCTCATCCTTGGAATTTTCTTTTCTTTTTTTCTTCCCTAAACTTTTCTTTTATTATCATTTCTAGCTTCTCTTTCTCATTTTTTATTTTAAGGGTCCTAGAACTTATCTTTTTCACTATCTATTTCATTTCGAATTAGGATCATCTCCTGATTTCAGTTCTCTTGACTTTTTAAAGATTTACATTCATGATAATGTGTTGTTTATTATTTATTTCCTTTAATACCTTTTTTTCTTTTTTTATCAATGTCACCTTTTTTCTTTTTTTATCAATGTCAATAATGATATTCTTGTATTTATTTAATATTATAAATAAAAAATCATTAACTCTCTATACCTATTTATTACAATCTTTTGCTTGACTTTTCCATTTAAAGAAGCCCATATAGATTTGGGTTCTTTGTAATCGACAGTGAGCCTGAAAACCTCTCTTGGCCCATATATGAGTCTCCAACATGTGTGAGGAAAATTTGTGAAGTGTTTGATTGCTAGAAAAATGATAATATTATACTTATAACTCAATCTTATAAATTTTCTCTCATAATCTGATACGGTAGCTTATAATTTGTCAGCTCATAAAGGGTCCCACTTGCTCAACAATGGATCATGTCTACCCAATTACGAACGTACCTATATAATGCTGTCACGTTGAGGTTGTAAGAAAAAACTTGTAAAATTAAGTTGTGAGTCAATCTTTATTACGAGAAAAATTAAATAAAGAATGAGAAAGTGTAAGATAATAAAAGAAAGCTAAAGAATTATTTTGGACTGTTTGGACCATTTTCTTATACTTATATGAATAAATTATGATATTCTCTTACTTTTAGTTCAGGGTTAAAGTGTCGTAAATTTTTTTTTTTTTTTTTTTTTTTTTTTTTTTTTTTTGTGGTCAAAGGAATTTTCTTTATTAAATTATTTTAGTTTGTAATTTTCATGAATGATTTTCACGTAACATCACATGTGACATGACTAAAACCTTAAAGATATACATATATAATATAATATATTAATATAATTTGGTCCAATAAAGTATAATAAAATATGAATTACTTTCATATAAAATAATAATTTTAAAGGAAATGCTTCCACGAGAAAAAAATTCTCATCGTGAAACGTTTTTGTGTTTTCAAATCTAAGAGAAATGTGAAAATTTTGTTGGTCATGTATTTTAATTTTGTGCTTCTAGAACATAATTAATTAATTAGTAGTTCTACTGGACAAAATTTTCTTAATATATTCAAAACTCTCTAGATATAGACGATCTCTCAAAATATGATAAACGGGTGGTCGGGTGTCGTAAAACCAACTCCAAAAAGCTAGTGCAATGAAAGAGGAAGTTCATATATATAGTAAAACCTCTCTATAATTATAATAGTGAAACTAACTAATTTTATTATTATAAGGAAATTATAACTTAATAAATGTGTAATTAAAAAAATTTATTAGTTCATAATTCATGTTTTAGTAGTGTAATATTAGGATTTCAATTCATGTTTTAATAATATTAGGGTTTCAATTCAGCGCTTCAATTGTCTACTTTTGAAAAGATAGAATATCGTCTTTTAAAACCAACAAAGATAATTATCATTGATGGAGTTGTAAATGTAGTTGCTGTATGACAACTGGTGTGAAGCCACAAACAATTACTAATTGTTTTAAGTATTACAAAATTAAGACCCCTGATGTCAATGAATTGTAAGTTACAAATTAAGTGGATGAGGAAAAT